GGAAAGTGACATTTTTGTGGGTGAATTATGAAGTGTGTGGATTAGTGCCTACTGTATGCTGTTAGATACTGTATTAATATTAAAATCCTTACTATAAAACAAGAATGGGAGATAAATCATTTTTAGTTCCATTTGCAAACCTTGATGTTGAAGCTGTCCAATCAGATTTATTTCTAGCATCTTTCTTTTCTTTATAGTTCTCTAGTTTTCAGCTATTTCTTTTCTATTCTGCCCAAACACCAAGTGTGTAACAAGATACTTAGCATCTGTGGCTCAGTTTCCCTACCTAGGAAGTTGGAGATAATTCTCTTAACTGGCTTACAGAAATGTTGCAAGACTAAACACATTGGTGTCTACAAAGCACTGAAGTCCCCACAGGGATGCTCCCAAGAAGAAAACACGATCAATGTTAACAACCAAATCTTCAATTTAGTAACAGAAGTCAAGAACTATGACCTGCAGCTACCACAAACTAGAACACAGGCTTATGGACTGACATACTTACAGCAGTGAATCTCAACCATGGTGCCTTGAGATTCTTTCAAGGGTCCCACAGTGTGCCACTTAGTAGTTAGGTATGCAAACATAGATAGACCCACAGGCTGTGTCCAGATAAGCACGGATGTGCGATGTGTGGCACCACAGACCCATCTGTGGTGCTACACACTGCACATGCAGGAGTTCCTTGCACTGCCGCCTTGCAGTGCCGGGGGTGGGGTTTGACACCGGGAGATCCTGGGGTCAAAAATATCCATGTCAAAAAAAAAAAGTGGGGCAGTGCACACTGCCCAAAACTGGAGCCTGGCTGGTTGGAGCCATATCTGGCTGCCAGCCATGCTCCCAGCTGCAGGAGCACCCAGGACCCCAGGTAAGGCTGCTGGGGACAGCACAATTGCTGGCCCCAGCCTCCCCACCAGGAGTAATTTGTTGCATGCCAGAGGGCAGGTGGCATGGGTGTTCACCGGGGACAAGCAGCAGCAGCACAAGGTGTCCCGCTGCTACTTGTCCCTGGGAAACAAATGTCCGTGCTCACCTGGACACAGCCAGATATTTCAAATAGGAATCCAGTGTTAAAAACAGTCTGATCTGTTGTGGTCTTTAGAAAAATACTAGAGCCATTCTTGTATTGTAAAGTCAATAATACATTAAAATAAGAGCTGGCATTTTCTGAGGAGTGCCTTGAGTCTAAAAAAATTGAGAGCCACTAAGAAAGAAAGTACAAGAGCTCAAATGTTCCAAAATTAATTGGTTTCTGCTGTCTCTCAATGAGCAAAAGTAACCCCTGAAAGAAACAGAAAAATGAAGACCAAATACAGGACTTACACTCCAAGACCAAATTTCCTATCAAAGCACCCACAACCAGCCGCAGGCAAATAGGGCAAAAAGGGTCCTTCACAAGCTCCAAGATGGCATTTTCGGAGACAGAGCTAAGGCTTAGATCAGTGGCGCTCAACCTTCTGGGCCCACAGACTATATGGATGGCATGGGGCTGGTTCATAGACTGGATTCCATGGGCAAGATTGATCTGTGGGCTGGATCCAGGGTGGGGTCAGTTCACAGGTGCAATCCAGGGTGCCAATTCTGCCCTGAGCACTGGATCTGGCCACTGAGTGACCCTACATGCCAGCCCAGTCAAGGCCAACCCAGACTCCTAGATCCAGATGTGAAACTACCTTGTACACTAGCACAATCTGGCACATGGGGCTGTGCCATCTAGCCTGCGGGCTTGGAAATTGTGGGGGGGGGAGTGGGTGTGGTGGAAGAAAACAGTGGCAGTGTTAATTGTCACAGCATTGCGAGCAATTAACACTACTTAACACTGCCCTGCTGTCAAATTTCTAGACCCATGGAGAACCCCATAGACTGGATTTGGCTTGTGGGACAGAGGTTGAGCATCTCTGGCTCAGAGGGATGGTCTTCACTGTTATTCACATATGTGCTATACCAGGGATGGCCAACAAGTAGCACACACAGACTCTGTGCATGGCAAAGAACAAACTGAGGAGAGGACAAGGATCACGGTGGCATATAGGGCAGAAAGCAGAGTAGTAGAGCAGGCAGGGCACATAGAGCAGGAAGCAGAAAACAGAGCAGATCAGGCAGGGACCCCAGGGCAGGGAGCAGAAAGCACAGCAAAAAACTGGGCAGGGGAAGGGGATTGAAGTAGCACTCAGGATGGGTACAGGGCTAACTTGTGGCATGCCTGCCAAGAAGGTTGGCCCACAGTGTGCTATACCATGGTGCTCTGGCAATAATCCCAATACCCATATTATTCTTGCTCTAGGTGAAACAGGGTAAAGGGTTGGTGGACACCAGAATGCAAGGATATCCATGTGCACTATTTTTATGGAGCATCTGTGCACCTCTTAAATGCCCTTGCCAGAATTTTTCTTAAATAAAATATAATTACCTCCTTTCCCAGACATTGCTTTTATTCCTTCAGTAGCCAAAAAGTTAGATTCAGAACCATTATCTTTTTTTAATGCAGCTAAACCTAAGATGCAAAACAAAAATCGAAGTAAAATCAATGCAAGTGTCCTGGAAATAATTTTACAAAGAAAACCATAAAATACATAAAAAGTCAAGACAAATACATAAAGAGTACTGACAAATCAAATTATCTACAGTCCATTATTTCAAACCACCTTGTTATAAAAACACACATTGATTATGGTAATCTTTACACATAGGACTAATATCAAAGGGCACTGAAGAGCCACTCTAATTAAAGCGCCCAGAGCATCATATATATTGGTGTCCCCACACTGAAAAATGGCAGCAGGGGCACTTTAACCAAAGCTCATTCTACGAGCTTCAGTTAAAACACCTCTGTCGCCATTTTTCAGCATGGGGACGCTGATACGTGACACTGGAGTCTGCTGGAACACAGTAATTACCACACTCCAGCAGACTCAATTAATCGAGTCTGCTCCAATGCGCTGTAATTACAGCGTGTTGGAGCAGCCTCCCTGAACGTGTATAGGCACTCTAATATTTTGAACAGAAAACTGGTAAAATAAGAATTTCAAGGTCCTATTCCTGACTGTTATTACCTTCCTATATGACTGTTGACAAGCCACAACCTCTGTCTGCTCCTGCACTCCCTCTTTCCAACTGCCTATATAGAGACTCATGATTATAGTTTTAGGATGATTGATACATTCATTTCACCATAAATAGTAACAGTGCTCTACATTCAGCCAATTTATGGTGCCATAAAGTGGCAAACCAGCCACGAAGATATTCCACAAAATATGTGGAACTTTGTGGCTCATTTGTATAGCACCATAAATTGAACATGAAGCATCCTCATGCTAAGGCTGAACACTTGTAACAGGGTGTAAATTTCCTCGGATCCCAATCGTACCATTGTTTTAACACCTTCCAGGGGCCTAAGTCACGACACTGAGGATTCTCATTTACTATTTGTAAAGGGCTTAGAATTTTGAGATAAAGATATTGTGGCCTTGTATTACTTGTAAGTGGCTTTTAGTAATAAACTAATTTAACAATAATGTTAAGGCATTGACACTTTAAAATGCACCAAAGCAATCAAGATACATCACACAAACAAAATGTTTATATATAAATGCTATATAGTCATTCAAAATGCTATATAGTCATTCACTTGCTTAATATAAATGTAAAACTACAAGTGAACAAAAACAAAACACAAAAATCCTCTAAAATCTCAACGTCCTCCAATTTGATTAAAAAAAGCACTCAACTAGATTTTTTTCTATTTGTACTGTTAACATAGTAACCACGAATTGTTAACGCCATTGTTTCTACCTATACACATTTTATAAATATGTCTAAACACTATGAAAAATAGTAAAGACTATGAAAAATAATAATACATTATTATTTGTAAAGAGCAACGTCTCATTCTTGAAAATGAATACTTTACTAATTTAATTTATGAACTACTTTTCCTACTTAAGTCTAGGATTCATTGGCGAGCCATTTCCTACCTATAAAAGATTTTGTTCAATTATCAGGCAAAAACAAACCTTTCCAGCTAATTCTGCCCTCATGAAAAGCACCTACAACGTTTACTTATTTTTAATTAACTATATTTATTGACTTAGTCTGACTGTTAAATTATTTGTTACTAGTTTGTGAATTTATTCTATTCTATTGTATTCTCTTCTATGGTGTTTTATATTTCAGGCATAAGAATATCAGATCAATAAGAGCAGTGATGACTGCTGGAAGATTTTTCCTCAGAATGGGCAATAAAATTACTGTTATTGATTAAACCTTATGAACAATTTGAAGAGCTAATGATTCTCAAGTACAAATATCAAAAGTAGAATTTTTTTAAAACCTATACTGAAAAATAGAGGTAATGCTTTACAGAGGTCTATCAAAGATAATTGAAAATGTTCTAATTATTTTTCATGGTCTGTAACACAAGCAATATGCTACTAGTTAAGAAATGTAATTCAGTAATGCAAATAAATGTTACAGAAGAAAATCTTTATATTTGTAGCTTTTTTTCCTCCCATTCTAGCCTTTGAATCAGCCAAGCACATAAAGTCTAATGTGTCTTTTAGCTCAAACAATGTCTTACAATGGCAGCTCACTACATACTGCTTGATCATATGGGCCCTGCTAGGTACATGATGCATAACCTACTCTGATTTTTTCCTAAAGCAAATGTCAAGTGTTTGGATTCACAAAGACAGCTAGGCACAGCTGTGTCATAAGAGAGAGTTTGATGAACCTATCACATATGCACTGACTCTGACAAAAACAATCCTTTACCCTTTCTTTCAAAATCTTTTCAAATAAAGCCCAGCTCAGCCTTAACAAATTATCTTGTTTCTCAATATTCTGAGAGGACTGAACAGACAAAATTTAAGACTGTTTCATAGAAAGATATCAACAGAGCTACTCACTGGGCAATCTTCGTATTTAATTAATTAAAAATAAGCATCCTATGAAAAGAATCAACTTTCAAAAAAGCATGGATATTATGAGAATTGTCTGTACATGGACAGTTAGGCTGCTAAGTTTTAAAATGATCAGAAACTTGGAGAATTCGACATGTTTCCCAACCAGGCAATTTGAGCCGTGTAAATTATACTAAGGAAGGATTGGATCCACTTAGGCTTTATCATACCTGAAAACAGGCAACTCAATCAGAAGAGAGATTCACACAGCCTAGGAGACCTGTGCAGTGAATGGGGAGAGTTATGCACCTTGGCTCCAAACAAGGAAACACTTAGAGCTAGCCAAGAGGACGCACAAAACACGGGAATACATATATGCCATGGCTTTTGCCTCATGGCCAATCAACAACAGGGCCACCAGGGCCCCTCAGCCAGTCAGCAGTGGAGGCAAACAATACAGAATATTTAAAACCGTAGTTTTACCTCCCAGCCTATCAGGAGGGAGTGGCGGGGTTGCTGGGGCCCCTCCACAGCAGGGGAGGGGGGTGCGTGGCGGAAAAAGCCAAGTTAAAGGTGCTGTTGTGCAGCGTACTTCCAGTGCAGTTTAGGGAGGTGGGGAAGAATGCCCTCAGGCTACGGAGGGCCAGAAACTCAAGTCTCCACTTCTTGGGTGCTCTAACCACTGACTACCACAAAAGGTGAGCAGGATCCTCCCCCAACATCCCCCCTCTGCCTTAGTTTTCAAGTGGCAGTGGCCATGGTGCTGCCTTTGTGTGTTTTTATTCAGTGCTGTTAGCATAAGTTAGGCAAGCTCCAAGGACACCTATTACATGGGCCCCTCTAGAACTTAGGAAGAGGTTAGACACTTCCTCAACTCTGATCCTGATAGCAACAGAAGCTAGGTATCCAGCTGCTCCTTACCGAGTGCATGTGTACTCTCTTAAAAGCTTAGGTTTAGGTGCTTACGAATCTTCTCAAGTCAAAATATAGGTTCTGAACAAGTTTAAATACCTACAGAATTTTGTGGCCACTGGAACAGGGTGGGGAGCTTTGTGATTTAGGTACCTATTTTCCATATATACCCTATGTAGACACATAATTTATCAATTGGGATCTGACCTTAAATACCCCATTTCTAACATAGACAGACAACCCTTCAAAAATGTGAAGCGCCATGTATGCCTAGAAAGTGTAGATTCAATTATGTTTGACTGTCAGAGAGCAACATGCATTCTGTGGTTACACATGTGCATGAAAGCAAGAGAGACAAGTAAAGGGCTGTTCTAGATGTCCAGGTAAAGGCATGATAGGATCTAATGAATGATCCACACAATTGTGTCTCCTGCCACGAGACACATACATGGCAGGAGGAATGCCTGTGGGATCCAGCATCAGATCCTAGTAGGCCTTATTGCTGTGTATTGGGATCCTGGGCTCCCCCTGCACTGGCTCCCACTATGTGGATGGCAGTTCCATCAGTTGAGGAGACTCTCATCCTCAGCAGCCTGTGGGACAATGCCGTGGCTGGGAGTCCCATCAAGTGTAGGACTCCCAGCCACAGAGGCATAGCTATGCTATACATGCAAATTAAAGCTAGATAGAAACCAGCTATAAAGTTAGTATACATTTTCCAGCTCTAACCTTATAGCTGAATGGACCTTTTTATGCTGCAACCGTTAATTTTCACATGTATACAATCTAAATTAATGGTACAACTAACCCACTAATTGCATAATACATGTAACATGTACTGGAGACCTGAGTTATGCAGTTCATTCTAAATCACTGCCAAAAAAGCTACCTTTCATCATTCCATCTTGTAGTCAATACATGCTATGCTGCATGTTACAGTAAAAATTATATTTTTGAGGATTTTAAGAAACTTGTTGGGAATGTATTTATATCCCTCTACCTATAAACCTGTGCTGTCTTATGCTCAGTCCACCTAGGCAGGCCTCAAGAAAGGAAATAATGAATGAACACATTGAATGACATGAGTTAACTCAGCATTTCCCATCTGGTATGCCACAGCACACTGGTGTGCCATCAGGCATGTCTAAGTGTGCCACGGCATTTTGGGCTGGAGCCATGCCCCCTGCCTGCTGCTGCTGCGGACACAGACAGAGGGGGAGCGTGGCTCAAGCCCAAAATGCTGTCCAGCTGGCTGCCACCCCTCCCCATCAGCATCCAGCTGGCTGCGTGCCACTGGCCCCCTCCTGGTGCTTTTTTATTTAGGTAAGGGTGCCATGGGACAAAAAAGGTTGGGAAACGCTGAGTTAACTAACCACAACTAGAATCTATTTGTGCATGTTAGACCCTGAATAATACTCCTTAGGCCTCAGAGTTTGGAATCTAAACAGAAAAGCAAGAATGAGGATAAAATTAGTCTCAGGTTCCAAATGGGAAACTTGAGAGACAAAGATTAAGTGATGTGCCTACCTTCAGGATTATTTACATAATACTGTAGGAAGTGTAAAACAATGTGCCATACCTGTCTCCTAATGTACTGATGACAAAAAAATAGTATCTTATGATAATGATGTTATGTGGCCTGATCCAAAGAGGCACAATGGCTACAGTTTTTAGGTAGTAGCAGATACTAAGTTCTCATCACCGCTAACTTCCATTTTATTCATTGCAAGAGGATGAACTGACTCCAAACAAGCATTTTAACATCAGGATATGCAGGATCTCTGTCTAACTTTTGGAAACAGTCAGATATGCTACTGGTAATACATACCAGTATTCACCTTAGAAGTTATGCGTGTTACATCAATTTTCTTGGATTTGACCAAAGGTGAAGATTGTGTGGAAGGACTTCTTACAGGATTCTTCTTGTGATCTGAAGCCTTACTTATTTTAGAAAGGGGTGCAAAGATGCCTGTGGACATTTTAAGGAACAAAATATAAATCGCTATTAACATGTAGTATGGAATGCAGAGTAGCAATAGTTGGAAAGTTTTTGCCGTATTACTTACTATGTGACCCTGAATGAACATAATTTGTGGTCTATCACCTAACTCAAGGAGGTGGCCAGCCAATTTTGCAGGCAGGCAGATCACATGGCCAGTTGCCATTTTTGAGGGTGCACTCCCCACACCTCTGATTGGCTAAGGGCCTCACTGGTCCCACACTCTGCTGCTGATTGGTTGAGATGGCTGTCCATCATGAGGCTCTGTCCCTGATTGAAGAGGGGTGGAGCTGCACAACAGGCAGCCCTCTCAGCCAATCAGTGGTGAGGGGTGGCGGGGGCAGCTCTTGCCTGCTCACCTTCATGCCAGCAGGCTCCTTTGTGCTGGGTTGCATGGCTGGGAGGACTACTGGCTCCCACTGAGGAGCCAGCCAGCATTTATATTTTTAGTAAATTTTTTGGAGGAGGGGGGTTTCCCCTACAGATTTCACCCAATTTTGTGATTTCTGCGAAATCCGCAAACTCACAATTTGAGTAAGTCCCTAGACATAAAATTTGTAGTACATCTTCAGTGGGCAAGCAGACAGATGTATACACCCACTCAAGTGCTCAAAAAAAGGCCACAATAAAATGCCAATTAAAAGCTGACAAAAATTATAAAAGAAACACCTCAAATGGCAAAGAAGGGAGGCTTGGGGACTTGCACTGGGAAGAAGTTTTAAGAAAAGTATGGCAGAAAGCAAGATAGATTTGCAACTTATAGTCTAATTAAAATTAGAGCCGTAAAGCGTAAGCTTTCATAAGAAGGCTCACTTCATCAGATGTTGTGAAAGGACAGTAGGAAGCAGAACTGCTATATATCTGATTTAGTTGGTCAACAAGGTAAAAATCTACCCTGGCTCTTCCCTGACTAATCTCTTTAAGAAAAGTATATCAGAAAGAATACCACAAAAGGAAATTTTAAGAAAGGCAGGCAAAGCAAGAAATGAAAGAAAGCTAAACAGAAAAACAATGTAGCTGTAAGAAAAGAAAATATCTTAATTAAAAGTGGCGGCAAAACTAGAAGAATAGTACACTAGAGTTCTGTAAGTCATCAGAAATGCTTTCTTTTAAATGTTAAAAAAAGAGTTAGGAAGAGTTAAATTAAGAATTGATTAATGTTAATTATCCAACAAAAGAGGGTGGACATTCTTATAAGTTTGTTTTTTTTTAATTAATGTTTCAAATGGTTTAAATCACCAAAAGAAACCATTACCACATTTTGCTGCACACTTGAAATACTGGATTTTTCCAACACTTCCATTGTTCTTTCCTTCTGGTTCATTCAGTTCTATGCCAGCCCACTGTCCACTGGCAAATTCTGTTGTACCACAAAATCTTAATGTACCAACCTAAAGAAAAGAATAAACCAAAATCAAATGACTTTGTGAATAGTAACCATTTGAAACAGACAAAGTATTTACTATGAAAGATGACTAAGTCATCTCAAGACCATTAAGCAGTACACAGAGAAATGTGAACATGACAATCTCCTTTGAAAATACATCAATTTCCTTCAATGCAAGCTAATGCATTTCTTAAGCTATAAAAGATAGAACTAATTCATCTTAGTTTAAAAAACAGTGGCCATTTTCACTCAAGTTAAGAATCAAATTCAGTAAGTACCATTAGATTATAACACCAGTTCAGTAATATATTTCATCATGAGCTGAAATGTAAGCAGGTTTTCCTCTCGTTGACTTCAATGAGACCACTCACCTGTACAGGATTAGGAACATGTTCAAGTATCCAGGTGAATTGGACTTGCATGTAATTGGACTTCCATGTAGATACATGAATCATATTCATACTGACCTGAAACTTCAAAAGTTTAAAAAAAGGAGTCCATGCCCATTATTCCTTCCTTAGGATGGTAAAAACAAGGACTTACTTTTGTTTTTAAAAATTATATTTAGATACTGCTTTAAAATATATAATCAGGAACACCTGGACTGATTTTCTTTATTTTGCAAGTGGGCCCCTCCTTGTGATCTCAGAAGATGTGCATTAAAATGTCACAGATTTGAACTGAAGACAGAAGTTGTGGAATCATTAACAAAGACTGCCCTCTCTCTTCAGAATCCCAGACACTGGATTCAAGTGTAAGTGATGTAGCTGTGATGGTCCAAAAATTATAGGAGATAAAGATTTCTTAGGGTGGGCTCTTTTATTGGATCAACTGTATAGTGGGGATAGAATTAGATAAGCTTTCGAATGCAAGACATTCTTCTTCAGATCTGACCAGAAGAAGAAACCCTTACTTCTTTCATTGGATTCAAATCACTTTTACATTTTGGTTTTTTAAGTAGATTAAATAAACACCCTCTTCCTGCAATTACTCCCCTTTCAGTCCCTTTTGCAGCTTTAATTGTGCTAGTTCACCCATAAATATAATATTAGAATGCATTTTGGCCTTAGGAAGAAGGATTAATATTAAAAAATTCCAACAGGCATGCTTCTTCAAATGCAAGGCTAAATATGAAAGTGAAAGTGCTACAGCCCACAAAAGATACCAAGAGTACTAATGAAATATCAAATGAAGTTAGAGTGCTGTCCATTCTTTAAATTTCAAAAAAATGAATGACGAGAAAAAACATTAATATCCTCTTTGTTACAAAATTTACACTAACTTGCAGCTAAAATATCAGATCACTGGTATTTTCTTCTTTGTTTTCATTATGCAGTGATTTATAGCTAAGTAAACTTTCATATATTCATTAATTACTCTGTCAGAAGAAATGGTTTCTTGTATGTGTTTTGGTTAGAATTAATTGTGTATCACTAGCAACTATACCTTTTCTGACCTCATTTCAGTAAAATGTTGAATGCAAATTTATAATTGAAAGCTGCTATACACCCTTGAGGAAAAAACACTTTGAAATGAATCATTAGCATTATAAATCTGAATATACAAAAATTAGAAAAAATGGTATATGCAAATACTGTTATCAGCAATACACAAATATCCAAATATAGAATTATGCTAACATAAATAGCTGCCTGCACAACTGTCACAAATGTACTGTCAATTTTTTGTTAAAAGAATATAATCAAATTATTTCAAAGTTCTCACTATCCAAAGCAAAGAAAAACACATGTATTTTGTGACCACAGTAGTATAAACAACTTTCCAAAGTTATCTGGGTAACTATGGCATGGTGGTTAAAAAAACAACATGAACATTTTTTTAACTTTGAGGTAGAGCTATAATAAAAGTATCTGCATTGCTGTCCCTATACCCCAGCAAGGTTTCATTGGAGATTTCAGCTGCATTGTACCAATGAAAGTTGGTTACTAAAGGCTAAACAGAATTAAGTGTACCTTTTAATGCTTTCTGGAAATAGTAACTAAATTAACCCTACAAAGCATACAACCTCTCAATTTAAAGTATAGCAACTCAAAATTCTGCAACTGATATTATTAAGTTCTCTCAAGGTCCTTGGTTCACCTTGTACCCACAAAATACACTGGAAAGACTAGATCTCGCACATTGATTTCAATGGTCTGTTAAGGAGAATTTGCAGATGCAAAATAGAGACTTTTCCCTGTCAATAACTGCTTTACAAAATGAAAATGTTCCACTAACACATAAGCATTCAGTTTATCATAAAAGGATTTCCCTTTGCTTTAAATAAGGAAAGAAAGTATCTTCATAGTTCTACTGCCATCCACATTCCATACTTTTCATAAATGTTATACCTACAGTTGAGAAATGTGCTTGAAAAGAGCTAAGTTCCACTACAGAGAGGTTATTTAGGCAGTTTCAGTTTCATCCTTGTACCTTCTGTCCTGCAATGATAACACGATCTCCCAGTTTCAGTCCAAGCGACATAAGCATGGCTTTGCCAGTGACATGATCGTAGTTTGGAAGCATGGCCTTGGAGATGTCACATGATAAAGGCACTGCATCCAACAGCATCTGTTTGATTTCTTTTGCACTGGCTGCTGCATCTGCCATCTCCAATGGCATATCCACTGGATCAGGAACCACATCTGCTGGAATCTGGCCTTTGTCATTCTAGAATGACAAAATAGCAAAGGAAAAGGAAGGGGTTGTGGGGAGGGAGGCATAAGTTTAAAAAGTTAATATTAACACAATGCAAATCCTGGCTGTGAAAAATTTCATTAGCATTTCTTTGAAATGGTTCAGCTCTTTTCCCTCCCTTTTTCTTAAGTAAACAGTGGCTAAAATTATCCATTGCCTGAAGTTAGGTATCTGTTTCTCTAATTACAGCATTTTATTTTCAAAGGTGCTGAGCCCTACAGTTTCCACAGACTAACATAGGGGTGCTCAACCCCTAAATATGTCATCTGGCCCATGTGGCTCCCCACAAATATGGAAATGTAGCCGTTGGAGAGCAGCGTCAATTAACACTGTTACCACTCCCCTCCCACCAAATTGCCAAGCCCCAACCAGGCCCCACACAGCTGGACTGGGCCTCAGCCAGGCCAGCCGTATGCAGAGGAGTCTGGCCCACAGACAGGATCCGGCTCATGGACCAACCCAGAGCTGCCCTTCTGGCCTGTGAAGCCAAAAGGCTGGGCACCATTGGACTAAGACCATGTATAAGTAGGGTTACCATATTTCCCATTTCAAAAAAGAGGACACTGGGGGGGTGGGGGGTATATGACTGTGAGGTGGAGGTTGGTGCTCATATGCCCATGCCCTGCCCCCACTCCCAAGCTACAGCCCCCCCCAACCCTGCTGCTGCTCCTCACTCCTAACCTATAGCCCCCCTGTCCCTGCTGATACCCCTCACTACGGACCTGCAGCCACCTGGCCGTGCCAGTGCCCCACATTCCTGACCCACAGCCCCCCACCCCCCTGGTGCCCCTCACTCCCAGGCCACAGCCCCCACCAGCCCTACTGCTGCCCCTTCACTCCCAACCAGCAGCCCCCTGCCCCCAGCCCTGCTAGTGCCGCTCACTCCCAACCTGCAGCCCCCTGCCCTCCCCAGCCCTGCTGCCCACGCAGCTCCCTGCTGCCCCTGAAGATCCCCTCCCCCGCCTCCCCACCCTGCTGCAGCCCCAGCACCAACAGGCAGCTGCCCCTTTGCACAACGATCCACAGACAGACACAAACACACACACACCCCCCAGACAGTCCCGAGCCCTGACTCTCCAAACCCCACCCCTGACAGAGTTGCATGCCTGCAGCTGCCAGGATGCACACAGATGACCCGGACTCCAATCACCTTCCCCCTGCTCTCCCCAGCCCCAAGCAGTTCCTTGCTGGAGCAAGCCAGGAAGTGCCGGGAATGTGGTGGCACAGCAAAATCCCAGACAGAGATGGGAGGCCCCCAAAAAAGGACACGTCCAGGAAAACCCGGATATATGGTAACCCTAGTATAAGTGCTCACCACATCCTTAAAAAAGGGTCTAACCATAGATTTAGGAACCTGACCTAGACATTGGGTTTAACAATTCTGGCCATTAACATGAACATAACATTAATTTTAGAGGTATGTTTAGAAATAAAAACTTTCCTCAGTGTAAAATTAGAGAGCAATAATAAATTAATTTTGGTGATGTTCATGCTAATTGCAAGATACAATTATACTGGTACTCATCACATGTATGCGGCACAAGGAGAATAAAATACATGAAACAAAATATTTTTTAAAAGGATGAGGTGTAGTAAAAAAAAAAAAGGTATAACATTATTCACTGGAAAAAAATCCCTGTCTATGTAATTCCTTATACCGCTCCTACAGTTTTAGAGCCCTCTCAAGCTCAGCCCCGGAAAAAGATAGTTCTAATTCTATTCCTTAGGTCCTTTGTCCTGCCACAAATGTCAGGGAGACATGGACTATCCAGGTATTGAAACACTGCACCACATAGCAGCAATGTGCATTTATGGCCACCTACCATGGAAGCTATCCAGGAACAGTTGCACATTCAAATAATTTAAATAACCCATTTCAGTATTGGGTTTCCAAACATATTTTGCTTGTCGTCTTTGTTTTATATTATTTTAAACTTATGTACTAGCAATGTTGTTTTGTTGCACTTTGGCACTGCTTAAGGAAGATATAAAAGATAAACTACAAGCTGACTAATGAAGCATAGAAATTAATCTAGAAACCATCTTTGTTTTTCAAAACTCCTGCATCAATTTTACATACATTATAATGTCTGGCCATAGTTCTACTAAAAACACGCTGAAAGAACATATAATTTAGTTGGCTTCAAAAATAAGAATTACATTTGGAAAAAAAATCCTTTTTAAGAAAAAATGTTTAAGAGGTCTTAGTTGCCATATTTTACTATCCTCCTAAAACATAAAAGAGGACTTGATTTTTTTTCTTTTTCAAATTTTGCAGCCTAGTAATCTAATATACACTCTAAAAACATGCACACTTTAAAGCAGAAAGTGCTCCTCCCTCCCTCCCGCCCCCCCCCCACCCACACACAAAGGCACTGGATTGAGGCAAACTATAGTATTTTAAGGTAGTACTGGAGTGATATTGTAGCCATGATAATCCTGGAAATATATATAGAAAAAAAAAGAGGCAAGATTTTTGTGGGCGATAGCATTTGTTGTACCAGCTCCGTAAAGAAGAGTGTCCTATACCCAAAAACTTGTCTATGTATCTCCCAACAATATAGTCAGTCCAATAAAAGATATCATCCACAAAAAATCCTTGCATCTCGCATACTGTATTTTAAAGAACTTCTGCTTAAATTTATATTTTGCATGAGTGACCAAATGGCTAATAACAATGTTCTGAAAGAGAGTAAATCATCACTGACACATAGTCTCTCCATGTCTCCTTAATATTTTCTGATTAAAAGATATGATTTTAAGAGATTAGATGGCTCATGGAATTAATAATGGGAGGCATATCATATTTTCTTACATAGAACATGCACCCCCCAAAACATCAGCTGCCCAAAATTGGGGTGCACATATTTAGCGGGCAAGCTGATTATCTGACTGGGATAGAAGCACCCTACTTTTGAGTCCTACTTTGAGTCACTGTTCTTTATTCCAGAGATTAACAAATTTCTCTCCTTTTTAATGGTCATGAGGTTCCACTAATCAAGCTAACTCGCCTCTGTTTGCCAACTGCTCCCAGTTTCTCTCCTCCTATTTCACAGTTTTGGAGACTCTTTAGCCCTTTTCAAATCACAGGCCTGGAAAGACCAGTTTTCAGCAAAGACAAGGGTTTCAGCTTTAGTTAAACAGGTAAGGGAGAAGCACGAGTCAGCTGAAGATTATGTTCTGTCCCTGCCATATTCAGCCATAAAAAAAAAATCTTGTTTTTTCCCCCCGTTCATTCTGCCTTTCAAAAACAATGATTTGGATGAGGGGCTGAAGAGCTCACTGGCCAAGTTCACAGATGACACCAAGTTATGGGGAAGCGTAGTCACATTTGAAGATAAGCTACAGATACAGGTGGATCTAGACAGGCTAGCAAGTTGAGCGTGTCAGAACCAGATTAAGTTCAGTGTTGAGAAATGTAAAGTGCTCGACCTGGGGGTGAACAATCCCCTGCACACCTACAGGCTTGGCAACAGCAACCTGACCAACACTGAATTGAAGAAACCTGGGGGTAATAACAAACCACAGCATGAATATGAGCCAGCAATGTGACTCTGTTGCCAGCAGGGCAAATACTACTCTGCCATGCACCAATCGATGCATCTCCAGCAAGACCAAGGAGGAGGTTCTTCTGTTCTACTCGGCACTGGTGAGACCCCAAATGGAGTATTGGGTCCAGTTCTGGGTGCCAAACTTTAAAAAGAATGTGGTACAACTTGAGAGAGTCCAGAGAAGGGCCACCCATATGATTAGGGCTTGCAAGGCAAGCCATACGAAGAAAGGCCAAGGGACCTGGGACTCTTCAGCTTGAAAAAGAGAAGGCTGAGCAGTTTACTGCTATGTCAGGGGAGTACATCAGGGGCTCGGTGAACAACCAGGGCGCCCTTGGGGAGACCCAGGAGTAATGGCCACAAACTCCTGGAAAACAGTTTCAGGCTCAACATTAGGAAAAACTTCTTCACAGTTAGGGTGTCCAGACTGGAATAAGCTCCCTCCAGAGGTGGTGCAATCATCTACCCTGCAAATCTTCAAGAGGAGGCTGGATAGTCATCTTGCTGGGGTCACCTGACCCCACCTGTCTTTCCTGCCTGGTGCAGGGGGGCTGAACCCAATGATCTTCCGAGTCCCTTCCAGCCCCTTAAAATCTATAAATCTATGAAAGGTGTGCATTATATTCTGGGGCATGTTGTACTCAAGAAAATATGGTATTATAGAACATTTAATCGGTAGCAATGGCTTTCAATCACTACTGGTCTGCATCAGATCTGAAATGCTGAATTGAGACCCTGCATACACTACATTTTTAAACAGGGAATGCAGCTAGATAATTTGCTTGGTTTTAAATATGACTTGAGCCCATAGTCAATGCCATAGGGCTACGATTTGGTTAGTACCCAGGACAGCTAACAATGCTTCACCATTTTCAGTGGCTTAGGCTGATATGTAGGAGATGTATCTATCATATTACCGGGGGGGGTGTTTACAATAGTGTGGTATGACATCCCAAAATGCACTGAACACATACTGCTTTATGTTTATATATATCAGGAAAAATTTGCTAGTGGTATGAGATTCCGACCTAGATCTTCCTATGGTAAGGAGTACAAATAGTGTTTTGATACTATGCAAGGTAGACATTAGCATGATTGTTGTAACTGAATATGGAATTAGAAATCCTGTGGACTTGATTTAGCTATGTTTGTTCTAAACAAATGCAGATTTTTGTTATTAGATATTGAAATGGAGGCAACATCTACAGCAATTGTTCTCAACCTCGTTACACTCAAGATACCTTTCAGGAAATGCCAGCTCTTGACTTTCATTAATTTTTTCACTCATTATGAAAAAGTAATAGAGCAATTCTTCTCTTGCAAAGAATTCTGAAAGGCCCCAACAGATCTGAATGTTTTTGACATTATGGATTCCTGTTTGAAATCCCTGGGTTTATCTTGTGAATCACATGTAGATGTTTGCATACCTAAAAGCGCTAATATTGTGCTTCACCCTTAAAAGGATCTCATAGCACCCGAGGGTACAACAGCACCCTGGCTCAAAAATCACATATCCAGATGTTAGTAGGTAGGGACCCATTTTGTGAGGCCTTATACAAACACAAAATAAAATTATAGTCCCTGCCCTAGAACTGGATTAATAGACACAGTTGTGATTTTAGTATGGATGAACTTATGAAGAGGCAGAAAAATGCTGACAGTTTTAAATTAGTTTCTAATGGACCATCCAATCTAAACACACATACCAAGGACTGACAGGGCATAAAGACTGAATCACACTACTAGTCTTCAGATGAAGAAACAATATAGAGGTAAATGCTTCTATAAATGTTACAACTCAAATGAAAAACGTGGAGAGACAAATGTAGCCAGGGAGGCCTCACTTTACAGCAGCAAACGTGGAACATCAATTGTAAGGAGCACATGTAAAGAGTTGATGGATATTGTGATAGAAGCCCTCCTGGAATCTGAAAAATGATTTAAAAAAATAGTATGGTACCATCTTCATTTTACCTCTTTGATGGCATGGCCCAGATACATCCATAATTTACTAGGACCTATTATTTTCAGCAGAATAACAGCTGTAAGAGGAAAATTGCCAACAACTCATAGAAAATCATAAGCTATAGATAGGTGCAACTAAAACTGCCCCAAAAAACTCTGGGATAGAAGATATCCATTAATCTATCTTAAAATAATAGAATTGAAGCATGAAGTAGAATAGGGTATTAACTTCAGTCTATATATTAATGTGTAGACTTACTCTAATTTTCAAAGGAATCAACTAAAATCTTATACTTAAGCAAGTGGTTTTCAACCAGGGTGCTAAGAGGGCACATCTACACGTGCACATTTACTGCACAGTAATCTAAAATTACTGTGCAATACAGGCACACGTCTACATGTGCACGCCCATACTGTGCAGTAACTATGGCGACTTATGCCAATTTGGGCATAAATTTGATGCCTGCATGATGCAGGTCTCAAATTTACACCCAATTAGTTACTGCGCAGTAACGCACATGTAGACACCTTACTGCACAGTAGCACTGTGTGTGGACTGACTTTGGACTAACTTTAGTCCCAAGTTAGACCACACACAGCATTAATGCACGTGTAGACACCGGCCTATTCCCACTTACTACTCAGTAAATTTAATGCAACGTAAATGCATGTGTAGATGCGCCCAGAGATAAGCAGATAAGCACAGGCTCAGGTTTGTCCCTACCTGGACAATTCCCTACCCTCACTATCTGGCCTCTCTGCAAGGAGGTAAGCACTGTAATATATATATATTTTTTTTTTTTTTTTTTAATTGGATGCAATTCAATTCACAAAAGTTATAAAGGGGTACCTCCAAAAGAGCCACTGACTTACACATTTTCTTAACTCCAAATCTTTTCCTTAGTAAATTGAATCATTGGCCCTAGGTTGATTTCCTTCAAAGCAAAATCAGTTAGGGCTCTGTCTAAACTGATTAAGATGGAATTGGATCTTGACATGGAAATCTAGGCTTGGATGCACAAAGCCTTGATGCAATACCCTCTCTGTAAAATGTGATTCATGGTGAGGATTTTCTTATTTCTCAGACATTACCATGCAGTGTAATACATTTTTCCCTGATCAAAAACAGGAATGGCCTCTAAAGTTTTTGGCTAATTTTCTCAAGTCATATTCTGAATTAACTCACTTCCATCCTTAAGCATTCAAGCAATCTCTAACATTTTACCCTGAAGGCAGGATTTGCTCCATGTTCCAGTAAACACTTGACAGCTCCTGTGCACAGGTTAAATGCAGCAATATGCAAAGCTGTTCCAAAATCGAAGTCACTGCAGGTGGCATCTACATCTGCAATTAAACATCACAAGCAAGATAAAAGAAGTGTCCGAGCATTTCATTTTACATGTCCTTTAACAGCAACTTAAGTTTTACATTTATCTTAAAGTTTACACATAACACTATTATCCATAAACCAAATGCTGATAAAAGGTGATTTTGTGTAACTTACCAGTCTTAATTCTAGCTGTATACTTATGCACAGACTACCCTATTTCCAGTCTAGTTTATTTCCAGACATTTTATAGCCCTGATAACTACTAAAAGTTAAACTGATGATACCTAGGATGCTCCATCATATGTGCCAAGTAACAAAAACTACTGTACATTTGCATATGAGTTAATAAGTTTATATCTACATTTCTATTTTTATTGACTGTTCATGCATTTAAACTTTAAAATATTTTTTTTACCACCATCCATTTCCATTTTTGAGATGATGATAATTTCATCCATAACTTTCAATTTTTACTTTATTCTTGGTACAGTGGCAGTGTAAGTGAAACTAACTGCGAGAATACAGTTGGGATAGTAAAAAAAATGTGATGACAGAAGGGTCCTATATTGACAGTTAAGAGATGCAACTGATATGTAATAGGACTTAGACACCCCTGAACCTCTTCTGATCTAGGTGTTTTTTTTCTCTCTTATTCCCTCTGCTTAAGAGGCAAATCAGGACACAGAGTGTACACAGAGTGTACTCTGCTCGTGTTCCACTTGCTGAAGAGCACAGGGTGGGAAGCAGAAAGCAGAGCAGCAGACTGAGAAGAGGAAGGAAACCAGAGGGAATTATGCCTGCCAAAAAGGTTGGCTCCCATTCATCTATAGGATCTCTTTTCCATTATCTCAAACGCAATATTTCAATTGCTTGCTTTGTTTTTCAAATTCAAGGGGAATTTTCAGTGAGCGAGACAGGGTGTCAAAAAGCTGCTGTTTAATGTTTACCAAACTGCTTTCCGTCTTTCCTGCTTCTACCCTTCTGAGCCCACCTCCCATCCATCAGGGCACCTCAGAAACCCTGAGAGTCTGCAAACGAAATGATTATGCCTGTTTCTCTATTTCATTATATCAGCCGGACTTAGAGTTGGGTAAGGTGAAGCTACACTGCCTTTTTCTTCACCCCATTCCCAAATTCTCTATTCATTTATGAAGTATGTAATCCCTTCCTAATCCCTCATCTTTAAAAAATGCATCTTTAAAAATCTGGCATGCACAATAGCACTCAGATTCAGTTCACAGAAAATGGGCCAATAAGGCAAATGAAAGAGAATGAGACATTGTAATTCTTTACAGAGGGTAACAGCACCTTTCAGCTATACTAACACAATCCCATTGACTCAGCCTATGATAAAAGCTGGCATTTGACTCTGCATACCTTTTGGCTTCGCATTTTTCAAAATGATACTAATGAGCTCCGGAACATCAAAGTAGGCAGCATAATGCAAAGCATTCATATTTGTCCAACGGCTACGCAAACTGATATCTGCACCCAGATCAATAAGTTGAGAAGCAAATTTCACAGCAGTCTCAACATCACCTGTAAAGCAGAGTTTTTAAATATTTAACATAGGGTTATAAATATCAAGATACCATACAAAACAAACCTGAAACCCTTCATTTCCCAAATTAAAGCTACATGAAGTAAGGCCTTTTCAGGATTAGGCAGAATAAGAATCATTGCCTTCTATCTTGTAATACATAAATTAAGGGCTGGATTCTCCCTTCTGCTAAATTCACTTTGTGCTGCCTACACTGCAGCTGTGCCACCTACGCTAGGGACAGACATTCAAAAAGACGGAACCTGCATAGACTGAACCACTTTGCACGTGAACAGACATTCACTTTTGACTCCAGAAATGCAGGCACATGCCTGCAGTGGCTCAGGCCAGAAGCTGGGGGGCACTAGAGCAACCCCTTGACTGGAGAGAAGCTGTGCTGGGTGTGGGGGTATGACTGGAGTGGGGTTTAAACCCACACCCTGGCCTGCAGGGACCCCAGCCAGGGTCTGTCTGGAGGGGGGAAAACAGCCCCTGTCAAGGGTTCACAGCCCCTCCACCCCCACTCACTCACTGTTCCAGTGGCAGGAGAGGGGGTGGGGCCAGAATTTAGTAGCCTGAGGGAAAGTGGGGGTTTAATCCCTGCATTGCAGGAGCAGGGGGCAGTGCAGGCACCCAGGGCTGTGCACCCAGGGCTGGCTGCAACAGCCAGATGCCAGTAGCCTGAGGGGAAGGAGGAGGTTATTCCCCTCAATGCAGGCAGCAGTGGCAGGGGTACCAACACAGCACCACAGGCCGAGTCCCTCCAAAGAGTGGCTAGCCAGCCACGAGGAGGGGGCCAGTGACGTGGCTGCAGTGGAGGGGGGAGCCAGGGCTGGTTATGGAGCCTAACTCACCATTATCTCCCACTGAGGCAGCATGACCTGGGCTGAGGCAGCCCCAGGGGACAGGAGGCAGCGCCCACCACCAGCCCTGCACGGGGGCCTCAGTTTGCAGATGGGCTTGCAGCTGCAGTGCAGTACCCTGCCTAATCCCTCTCCCAGCAGTGACAATGGAGTGAGGCGGGTGGAGGTGAAGCATGTCACCCTCTGCCTGCTCGCAGAGGCACCGGGCACTTGCGGTGACCTGCCACAGGCCAGGGGCATGGGCAGCAGCAGGGGGAGGCAATGGACTGCCACAGCCCAGTTCAGTCTGGCCCAGCCCCATGGCTCAGGGGCATAGGCAGTGACAGGCCTGCAGCAACCTGCCCTGAGCGCCCAGTGCTGCTGTGAGCAGGTGGTGCGTGACAGGTGCCTCACCGCCACCCGCCACAATGGTTTGTTTCACTGCCATACCTGGGAGAAGGAGGGGTACGCTGGCGTGGGCCAGTAGCTGAATATGCCCCTGAGTCACAGCAACTCGTCCCTCCCTCTTCTGGTGGCAGCAACAGCACAGCAAACCAATTCAATCAAATATTTATTTTTATTCATTATCAGCTAGCCACTTGTTTTATACCTGGCCACCACCTTTACCTCCATCTGAAAAAACCTGTTATATTTATTTCCTTCTTAACTGGTAATGAATTTTATATAATTTCAGAAAAGCTCAGAAAGAACAGAATCATTCAGAAAAGTTAAAAGCAAACACTAGAAAATTTAACATAAAGAACAATTTTGTACTGGAAGCAAGGCTGTCCCAGGGAGTGAGAAGGAATGAATCAGGGCAACTGGCCCAGGCCCTGCGCTTTGGGGGGCCCCACGGAGCTGGGAAGAGCGGCACAGCAATTCCATGCAACCGTCA